GTACGCAAGTGCTTCTTTTGATTTCAACCAATTAGCGCCGACGCAACGACATCACACACCCGACGTCACACACGACAACAGCTAAGCTAAGCTAGCTGAGACGACACTCGAAGTCGGACGGATACATTTTTCTGCCAATCTGTGTGTTTCCCTTTTTGTCCAAATATATTTTTTACGACAACTATCTTGTCCACGGTGTCTTTTATTCGTTCCACTGGGGTTTAGCAAGTGTGTTTATAAAGAGACGAAAATCTCTTTACTGTTACTAGTGTTAGTGTCTCAACATGGCTACGCTCGTGAAAGCAAAACAACGAACTCAAATGCGTCTTCGTTCAATGTTGTCAACTAATATCCAGATTAATTTTAGGCAAATTTTCCTCAATTCTCCGGAGAGATTTTCATAAAAATTTGAAAAACCCGGAATTCCGGGAAAATCCGGAGGACTTTCATCTCTGTAGGTCACATTATTGGTGAGGGGAAACAACGTTTTTAAAAGGAATTTACCATGGTCTCCATTTTTTTATGTCACAAAAATTTGGCATTTGAAAAGGGGTGTGTAAATTTCTTCCATCGCCTCATATATGCAGCAAAAATGGGCAGTCTCTACATGCATAATAAGGCTGAATGTTTGAGACGGAACTTGGTAAGCAATGGTTTCTGTGTCAGCTGGTTGTGTTTATGCTAAAGATGATATCAGACCGACATCAATGCAAGGTCACGAAGCAGAGAAGACTTCGTCTGGGCTCAGTTAATGGAGCAGGGATCCACATACATCTGGATTCAAGTAAAATACATGAGTGAAAATTTCTGCAATACGAAGCAAAGTCTTATAAAAGACAACCGAGGCAGTAAATAATGTAGTGATCTTTCTTACAACTTGAGAAGACTCCACGTAGACCTACGTAAACAAATAAGGACAAACTGTCATCATGGATCACGTGGTCAATTGTGTAAAATTAATCGTATCTTGAAGGAATTGAAACCAAAATCGAGTGCCCAATTTGGCTCCAACAACCAAAGGCGCCGTTCATTCACAGATTTATGGTCTGAACAACAACATGATGTCAACTATGGCTTGACCTTTGCTAATCTTCCCTATGGCAACCCCAAAGGGCACAATTCATTTGCTCAGCTTAACATCGCACTTGCACGAGTTCAGAACATTCAGTCAAAAGCCTATTCTGATAAAACTGTTTACATCAAAAGATGGAAGTAAAATAACTACCAGTACTTGAAAGAGTCCTACTGAACTGCAATTCCAATTGATGAAAAAAAAGGCAGATTTAAAGGTATGCCAGAAAACATTGAAGAGCCCATATGTAGATCTTTTTTTATCAGCAGACATCATGTTTTAAATGACTACACTCTGCCACATGCAAAAACTAAACCCACGCAGTGTTGATAAAGACGGATCCAGCAGTCATGAGGTGGGGAATACCTTAAAGTGACACTGAAGAAAAAGAGAAATTGAATGAAAGACGAGATAAACAGAAGCAGGCTTAGCAGGGCTCATGGCATTCGGAGTCCATTAGAAAGTGAGCCAACAGAAACACAGTAAAATGTTTGTGAAACTCTACAAAATCAACTGGGCCTAATAAAGCTAACCATACCTTCCTCCAACCAAAAATACATTTTCATTGTCCATGCCTGCTGAGTGTAATCATTCAATTATACAATAATCAATCATTATCGCAAACAGTGACACAATCCCATGTTTCTCAATCTCAAATTAGATAAAACATAGTAAATACAGGAAATAAAGTACGTGGGATAAAATGTTTGCGGTTTGTGGACAGAGAAGTAAATAAAGTGAAATTCCTATTTACTTTGACATTCATGTTTGTGTTCTCATTCTCGCATCTAAATCAGGTTTCTGTTTTCGTCACACCAGAGCTTGAACTACTTTTTGCCATCGTGTCTAAGAATCATGGGAAAAGTCTCACTACCCTATTGCTGCAGTTGGCGATTAGACCCATTGTAATCTGAGTTTTTCTGGCGGCACACTTCCAATTTCACAATGTGGGAACAGACCGCCGCGAGGTGAGCAACATAGCCAGCTTCCATTAGCTGCCAACACCAACAAAAAAGTTCGGATAATGGTGAGTGCACCGACTTGTTTACGACTGTCAACCTGGATAGCATTTAGCATTAGCCGAAAGTAATAACACAACCACCGATCACCAGATTGACTGAAGATGTTCAACATTTTTGTTGCGTCTGTCAGAGGATCTCTTCCTCCACTCGAAGCAACACCCGTGTAGTTTCATGGCGAACAAAAGCAAGCGAGACGCACTACTACGCAATATTTCACATCCGGTCTGAACCCAGCCTAATAATCGATCAATTAAACATACGGTACAATTAGAATAAACTACTTCACAAAATGAATAAACCGGTGCATCTAATGTGACTTTTTTTTAACAGGCCTGTTCAGTGATTTTCCGCCAAATAATACAGTGCGCGAATGGTCTGTATAATACGGTAATTGTTACTGCCATAAGTAACCAACAGCAATTTGGAATTTAATCGTTATTCTAATGAGACATACGGGGCCTGAGTTACTAAGATCCAAAACAACAGGCGCTAGACTACATGTTCACTCAGTGGAACAGCTTGCATATGCGTATGTTGTTGAGAACAAATGATGGAAACTTCCCAGATTTTAAAGAGAGTGCAAAATGAACTTTGAATGATGAAATTGGCAGTTTTAGTGGAAGAGGCAAATAAACGCATGATTGTGTTACTGAGGAAAAAAAAATAGATCACTGGGACACTTTTGTGGAAGCCAGTAACCTCATGAAAGCCATGCTCTGTTTGAGTTAATGCTCCCCAAGTGCGCGGCAATTGGATGTGCGGATATGTACCCATCGTGTGTAATATTGTGCTTAAAACCTGGGGCAGCACACCAGTAAATAAGCACTAATTGCATAGTGTACTGAAATGACCCAGATGCATGGGAATGCGGAGTTGAAAGAAGTTTTGTCCTCGGCGATATAGCATGACTCCTTCTTGTGACTGGCTTCAAGTCAGCCTTCAGATGGTTAAAAAGCTTCAACATTGCATTGCTGGTTAGACAATACAATATTTTTTACATAGCGTTTCAAAATGTACACACGCAAAATTTTCGTGCCGCCTTTCAATTTTGCTTGTACTACGCTGTCAGTGGTTTGCATGCTGGTTTACACCTACCTATACGATGGACTATCTAAAGACATAGCCAGCGCCATTCATATCAGGTTTGTTAGATCATGTTGCGCTTGGTATATTAATCCATACACTTTTTCCACAGTATGTCAAATTAACTGTGCAACAGGGCATTGTTGTTGACTGACCTAATCTTGGTTGTGCTTGGTTAGTAGATCAGCTTCCAGTTTTTCCAGTGCACATACAAACCTTTCGTAAATTGGGTCCTTGGTGTACAATATTCAACATCTGTGTTTGGATTTGTGTTGTGTTGAATTAAAATATTGCAACGTTCTAAAATGATGGATTCCCAAAGTAGTGAAACAGAATGTACATACAGTATGATTATTACTAATGTACAGTAGGTACTTCATTTTAGTATCCAGCGTTAAGTATTTAGATGCATTTTATTTTACTTTGAAGTAGGAAGAAAATGCCTATTGAAGCTCTAAAAGCAGGAAATACGGTACCTTGCATCTTCATTTGCAATGAAGTTGAGGCAGTTAAAACAAAAAAAAAAAAATGCACCCGCTGTTATGTTACAATAGTGTCCCCTGGTGGCCCCTAACCACCATTGCGTGAGAATATTTTTACATTGTGTATGTCTATGTTTATCCCGACCGACCGACTCTAAATTGGCTCAAAGTTGAAATTCAAAAATATAGATTGCGGAGTAGATGATAACTCTGTGCAACTAGTAATTGTGACCTTGTGATGCTATTTACACAATTTGTATGTGAATGGCTACTGATTTTTACAAACTGCAGGCCAATATAAACGTTTCATTCCACCCCAAGAACAGAAAAGAAGCAGACCTGTTTTTTTTCGAGTGTTCATCCCTTCCTTTCTTCACCCCAAAAATCCTTGTGATCAGAGTGCTGAAGAGAAGAGTTGAAGAATTTCTTACCTGAAATAAGAGTGGAAATGTAGGGTGTATGATGATATAGAATGAAGATATACGCATACATGACACTAAAAGTAAGACACACATACACACGCTTTACAGCTAACCATTGCAGATCTCTCATGCTTGAGACAGGCGAATATCTATTTGTAAAATGAAACATGTTAAAATGTCAAGACCAGATTTATTTTCAATATCCAGCTACATATTGGAAAAAAAGTCACCAATATTTCACAAATTTTAAGAGGTTAATCAGAGCTCATGTCAAATAGCTGGTAATTAATTTCATTTTTGGGGTGTAAAATAAACCTTTTTTTTTTTTTTATGGCATCTTCTAGTTACTGAATTCATAAACTGGCCATGTGATACTGGATGTGAGATGTCACGCTTGATTTGTACAAAAGCGAAAAGGGCAAAAAGCATGGAAACTCACTGCCCAGATAGGAGAGGTGAAGCCAAGTACAGCAGCCTGCATTCCATCCGACACAAAACAAATTATATTTTCTCCCAGACGAGTGTCCCTGTAAAGAGCTCTCAGGATGTTCAGAGCGTGGACCTGTAAGGAGAGCACTTGAGCATTCAATTGAGCTAGGACGAGACAAATATTTAAGAGAAAACTTGGCTGGATATTAAGTCACAAAATTGGTCATCTAGCCAGCATAAACTAATACAACTAATGCTGCGCCATTAACGGTGGACAGGCTGATTCACATTTATTTAATGTCAGTTAACGCACAAACACTTCAAAGAATGTGACAATCGCAAGGTCAAGATGGGTTGATCTAACAAACCTGAGGAACAGTGGAAGCGTCTGTATTTCTGTTAGCGGAAGGCATGGCGAGAGTAATCAGCTCCCTCATGGTCATTTTTAACAGACTGCAACTGGAGGATTTTGGCTCAGAAGAGAGAAGAGCCTGCGGAGAACAAACAACACATGACAGATACAAAAGTTCCAAAACACAAACAGAAGGAAATAGCTCCACAATCATGCTGGGAGCAGGCCTTGTTGTTGTGCAGTACATTTTATTTTTAACTTGATGTGTGTGTATCTGAAAGTCTTCACTTTTTGACATTTTGTCATGTTATAGCCTTATTCCAAAACTGAATACATTTGATTTGGGTCAAAATTATCGTCTTTTTCAAACTTTAGGTCACACCTTTTTTCATAGTTTGTCTAGTCCTGTGACATATACTCAGGTGTGACTTGCATATACTGTATTAAGGGTATGTTGGGGGAATTCACTCTGATGTCAGTGGTAAATTTGCAGAGGCAGCGCATGCTACCGCTGGCCGCACCAAGTCCCCACTCGCAGTGCCCAAACGCACACTCCGGCACTTTGTTTTTGGAACACTCTGAATAACTAAACCATACACTCTAACAATGCTCTGAGTTTCTGAACCAGTGCTATTAAGATGTTGCGCTGTCAGTGTTGCATTAATATTAAACATGGTTACATTCTTGTTATGCGAGAATAATACATTTTGGTATCACTGAGAATCAGCATCTGTAACATGAATCACGAGTGCATTATGCTGGATATATTAGTGAACAGAATAAATTGAATGAAATGTTTCTTGAAAATAAGTGGTAACAAGTCATAAAGGCATTATCTTGATGGAGGTTTGACAGTGGGATTGATTTTACATTCCAATTTATCCCCTGTGCAAAAAAAAAAAAAAAAATCTAGATCGACCAGCATCAAAAAACAGATATGGTACATGTATGACTTTAGAGGTCCCACTGTAAATATAAATACAGTATTTTGAACCTACACTATTTCTTTGTCCAACTATTTTATGAAAATTAGTCATGGTCATGATAGAATACTTTTGGGTTCCTGATGTCGTAAATAATAGTTGATGTGGCCACTAAAAAGGTGACATTCAGGCCTGCTCTTCACAGCAACATATACTGTGCATTCATACTGAGATGGCTGATTGATGACATACCAATAATTTTATTGGACAACATAATTTATATGTGACTGCCCAAAGGGGGAAATGTAGGTGCAAGGCCGTTGCATGCGTTAGTGGTCTTGAGAAGGAAGTTGACATTAAACATCTGGCTTGAGTTATGATTAAGAGTTATGCATGGGAGGTATGGAGACATGAAGGTAGGGAGGAGAGGAGAAGGCAACAAGGTTTGGCCTTTCTAAACTCTTGGGGATTGGAGGAGATGGAAAGAAAACAGAGTCTGCTTCCTGTGAAGTGTAGGTCGAGTTGGTCCAGACCAAAGAAGAGCGAGCGCAGGAGGCAGCCTTCCCAGATCTGACTCTGTCATTCCGGTAGTAATGAATGCTGGCCAAACCTCTGCCAAGGTGTCGACATAAACTCCTCCATAGACTATCACTTTTTTAGCTGACATTTTTAACCATCTTTTTTCTTCTCCTGGGGACTCATTTATCAAAGAGTGTGTGAAACAAGTTCAAAGTTTGTTTGCACGACTGAAATTTAGAGTGTGTGCAGGTACAAACATGCGAACACCTGTCGTATGCACACCAGTAAGGAATGTGCAGTGATAAATCCCATGTGTTCTAAACTGCCACACTCACCAACGTCTGACCTCATTTGCATTGAGAAACGCCTCCTATTGACCATATATCATACCAGCAATCCCTTTAACAAATCCAAAAGCAAGGCTAAGATGGCAGAGAAAATAAAATCTCTTTGAGGGGCAGTTAGGGACATTTTTCAGGATTAGCTCTCACACTTACTATTGAAATGCTGTCATACACACTACAAACTACAAATTTTTGGAGGGCTCATAAACGCAACTAAAACGAGTTCATACACCAACATTATATCCCTTGACATAAAGTAGAGAGCTTTCCAATTCCTTAAAACTTTTTGTTCCGAACCGGAAGATAAACAAGCCACTAAGCAACTCGTATAGTCTCCTCGATGTCGTCATTTGACGGCGATGTCACTGACTGTCACAAATACACCGTCTGTGTGTCAGTATTATATTATCATCACCACAAATGTCCGCTTTATGTTTTCAATGGGATTAATTTAAAGTGCTGCTAATAAGAGGGGTTACACAAAGGACAAGGATGATGGGTGTCATTTTGGTGAAAGAGAAACGAGGACTGGAAAACTAATGTTGTTCCAGCATGAATGCTATGGCTGCATGCCAAGAACTGTTGACTGCGACTGCATTTAGGAGTAAACAGGAAGAAAAACAAGCAGAGGACGCTTTCCCCCAAAAGACTGTGCCCTCTGACACTTTTTGTTGGTGACAGGATTACAAAAAACAGATTTCGACAGATGAGAAACAAAATGAGGGGTAATGAAATTGGACTCGGAGGAGATCAGGACAAAGGTACTAATCCAAAAATGGCATTTCATTCCTGGATGGCTGGATCATTTTGTTTGCATGGCGTGATATGACATATTTCAACAGACAAATAATTTCGTTCTGAAAAAGTATATGTGTAAGGTGTCTTGTGGTTCAGTCCAAATTTATTTGAGGATTGTCAGGACATCTTTAGATGACCTTCCATGATACAAGTGGTCAAATTTGTTCTTACTGCTACATGTTCCGCTTAAACGTCGGTTAACAGTTATTCATTTTAAGCAACTCTGATAATCTTAAGTAAGTCTAACTAAAACCAAGCATCATCACCTGAATATAGAAGGGTATTCCAGCGCTGCGTCGTGTGGCACACAGTTTGGACGACGGGTCACTAGATTTGACCTCTTCCAAAACTTCAGATAACCAGCAAGCTGGAAGCTGTTGCAGAACTTTACTGCCACTCCTAAGACACACACACACACACACACACACACATATATATAAAAACATATATTTGCCATGTACTCTAGAACCAGTGCATGAAAAAAAGACAATAGATTGCTGTGACATCAGTGTCTGATTTATTATACTTTGGAACTCCATTTGTAGTGGTATCTCGAGATCTATGTGGAAAATAAAAAGGCAATGAACTGAAATAAAGATTTGTTCACATCACAGCTGCTGTTGACTGTAAATTTCCCCAGTGTGGGACAAATGAAGGATATCTTATCAAAATAATTCTGAACATAAAGTTTATGATCATAGTGCACAGATCTGTTGTCAAAAAGAAATCATTAACTCGATTTTGAATAAAAGCAGAAACTGTAACCTGAAAATATTTACCAGTATTTATTAATTAAAAAGACTGACCCTGAAATGCCCCACTGTTTTAAACTGTCCTACTGGTCAGAATCTCTTGTTTTGTTCTTGTATACATCCATCATAGGAGCGCTAGTGTCTCGTTAAATGATGGTGAAATTCTAGTGGTTGTGTGGTGCGTGTCTGTTCTTCTCTGGGCCTGTGTGTATGCATGTCTGTGTTTCAGGAAGGGAAGAGCTTTTGTGGGGATGGTATGCAGGCTCTGTGCTGGGTTATGGGGTGTTGATTGCAGGGTGCTGAACCACAGCCTTTTGATTCTCTCTGTCTTGGGATCTGGCATTGGTGTGCTCCACTGTGTTAGCACTCTGGCACGGTGTCTCTTTTTGTGCTTTCTCCTTTTTCCTTCCCTCTCCGCATCATTTTTCAGTTTCTGTCTCTTTAACATGACTTTCACTCTCCATTCATTCACGTAAAAGGTGTTTCCGAAAACATCACAAACCATATAGTTTAAATCTAAACTACAGTTTACAAGCAACAGTTGTCATTTGCTTTGTTCAATGGATGAGAAGATGTGAGAGATATATGGATATGTAGATGTATAAAAATATCTATCTATCTATCTACAGTGGTACCTCTACTTACGAAATTAATTGGTTCTGGAAGAAATTTCTTAAGTAGAACATTTTGTAAGTAGAGACGCGTTTTCCATGTAAATGCCCAAATCTGTTCCAAGCCCCCCAAAATTCAGACATAAATGTTTTATGAAGCATAAAAATGCATCAAAATATGTAATAAAATCCATGTTGCAATGAGATTATTGCGCAATAAATGAGAGTTGTGCCTAATGTAAAAAACAAACAATAAAGAATAAAAATTATGGTCATTTAACTTTTAACTGCCTACTCATCGTTTTTTGCCCCCTTTAGTCCATGTTCTCTCTCAGAAGTGTTTTTTGCCTGGCGTTTTGTAAAGAACTGAACCAAGAACGTTTGCTTTTGTCGGCTTTTAACAATCCTTCGAAAATGTCCAAGGCAAACATCAGCATAGTGAGCGATTGCCCGACTGGTGAACACTTTTTCTGGGTGAGTCACATTTACGTAAAACTATCGGAACGACTCATGGCCCAAGGGGCGAATGACGAGGACGCTGCACAGACACATATCTATCTGTCGATCGATCAATCTACACTCATAGACAAATACGGTAGAGGTCCCTCTTAGCCAATGGTATGCCAGGATGATGCTCGGTAGTAGCCAATGGCAGAGCCGCCCTAAAGTGCACCACTGTATATAATAATAATAATAATAATAATAATACATTTAATTTATAAGCGCCTTTCAAAACACTCAAGGACACTTTACAACCAAAACAAGAACAATAAAACCACCGATAAAATTATAAATAATAAAATGAAAGATGAATTTAAACTGAATATGCGATTTTAAATCGCAATTTTAAATAGTTGACGCCGGCAACATATATACACACACACACACACATTTTACGTGTACTTTTTTTTTTCCAAACACCTGTAGTTGGAATGGTATGTTAAAATCTGTATGGTCATACTGTATATGTTTGTGTGTGTGTGTGTGTGTGTGGGGGTGTGTGTGTGTGTGTGTGTGTGTGTGCGTGCGCGCAGGGCGTACAAAATTGAAAAAAGGTTGAGAACCACTGGTTCAAAACACTGTTTCACCAGATTTTATGTCTTTTCACATGTGACAGACATCAGGGACAACATAGGGTTCACATGAAGTGACAAATATAGGTATGGCCATGAAAAAACACAGTCGATAAAGTAATTTCCAGCGCAATAAGGGACACCACAAAAGAATGTCGAACAAACTGTCACGAAGAGTGACGCCACAAGGATGTGCCTACTGATGAATTAGATGACAGAACAAAAGCTATCCTTGTAATGTGCAGGGCTATGTCCACAGCCACAGAGCAGCTTTCACATTTTAGCCCTCAACACTGTACGGTAACACATACCTGCATAGCATGTCAGTGAGGCGAACAAAGCCCACATAAGCCAGTTCAAAGGCACCACGATGACGGGACTGCAGGAGCTGCTGACGGAAATACAAGCCAATACAAGCCACCTGTAACAGAGAGAGAATATGCGATGAAATATAACATTTTGTAATGCAGGCAGCTGGGATATCAGTGCATGTCGACAGAGTGGGGGAGCATGTAACAAGAATACCTAAATAAAATACTACTTTGCTTGACTTTTAGAAAAAATGGACTTTGCCACAATTGTTGCCAAGTGAGACCGCCTGGTGAATGCATCATCATTAAATGTGAGCGAGATGGCCAGATTTTGTCCAGATACAGAATTAAACAAAAAGGATGTCTGTACATTTTTTTAATGAAACCGGTCATATAACCAATAAACTTCATGTCATTTTCCGACAAAACAATAAATTAAAACCAAAACCATTGCCCAACACCCATCTAACTCCACTACTGTGACTTACATAATCCCACAGTTATTAATAAAATGCTGACATCGCTTTTTAGCAGTCTATCATCTTCAATGTGAAAATGGAAAACTAGAAGCAAATGAGAACGGACCATAAAGAATTGTTATTCCACTGAAGAACTGTAGCTACACTTTCGCCTTTTCTCTAGTTGGCATTCAAACTGAAGCTCTAACACCAGCAACAGGCTTGTTTTAGAGTCACCACTTACTTTTCGGCCAGCGACCAGCAAGCATGTCCAGCATGAGAGCAGCATGGCAGTAGCGTGACAAGTGTGTTCAAATAAGGATGCTGAGACATCCGCATAATAGCCAGTCTAAGTAAAACCATCCAGTTAGTAATAGTGTTAGCAACATTATTCTCTACACACACACACGCACGCACGCACGCGCGCGCGCACACACACACACACACACACACACACACACACACACACACACTACTACAGTGCCATTTCTGTGGCAGTATGTAAACTGGTGAGTGTGTAGCAGGTGAGGCGGCAGGGCGAGGCGGACGCGGAGCTTCAGTGCCCTGTCATTAAGGCTGTGGTGTCACCGCTACCACTAAGGCAGTCAACCCTCGGCTTAGTCTGGGGTGGCACAGAGGGCACAGGGAGGAGTGACAAGGTTTTGGTGCAAATAAAACAAACAAACAAATAAGAATCAATCCAAAATGACCCTTTCTGGGATGTGGGTTTGACACAGCATCTCCCAAAAATAAATAAATAAAGAGACAGATTGGAAACCACATGGGGGGGGGAATTACACAAGTGACTGAGCCTTTTCCAACAATTTTTTCATTTCAAATGTGGCCTAACAATGCGGGAACAAAGGTATATAAAAAGAAAAAAAAGAAAATATTTTTCAAATATTTCAATTTCACTTATGTAGGGTATATTGACGACTTCTTTCCACATATTTTGTGAAATTCTCTACATAGGAACAACACTACGATCTGTTAAAGATGATAAATTGACAAGTAAATTTAAAAACATATAGAACAAATTATCGGGACATGTGGAACCAAAGTGTAGAGCTGAGGCAGCCCATTTATTTAGGTAACTCACAGTTTGGTAAACTTGCCTGGCACTGCAGACATAAAACACAGCAACTAAAACACCCAATCACACAATGAGTACACCACAACTGCACCAAGCACAATGACTTATCGCATAAGTTTGAGAACGGACACCCAGGACAGGACTGACCTCACCAGAGTAAAAACAGCAGTCACTGTTAGATGCCCAAGGTTGCCGGGCCCAGACCACTGCGGTGCTGAGCGAGGCCAAGCCGGGCCGTTGCTGCGCGTATTTAAAGCTTTCTTCCTGAAGGTTCCCGTCTGTGTAACTGTTTAAAAAGGCAGAGCAAGCAAGGGCGGGAGACGAGTTTTATTTAGACATCAACTTCCTGTTTGCAAGCGTGCCTTGTTTCCCTGAAAAACTTCCCTGTGGGGAGCGAGAAGTTTCCCAAGTCTAATTACATATATGGATCAACCCGTGACACTGGCCCAAATGGGTTAGACAGCAACTCTTGCCATGTTTGTTGCGCTTTCTCCTTGAAATGCCATCTATTGGAGAATCATGAATTTCAACTTTGAAAATCACACCAGCATCTGTAAATTGATATCATATGATTAGAGGTACTACTTTTCATGCAGAACACACAGTTTTGTTTTCGCAATTACACTTATGATGATGTTTTCGAAGAGGAAAAAAAAAAAAGAACATTAACATGAAATTCAGATAATGGATGGATGGGTAAAATCAACAGCAGTGGCAAACAAGGGTGCTGGATCAATATTTTTAAATAAACAATCATAAATAGTCTATGCGCAATATGTTGTGTGGAATTAAGGAACTTTTTATCTATGTACAGTGGAATTTTGCAAATCAAATGCTTCTGAAATGTTAGTGTCATTATGACAGTGGTACCTCTACTTACGAAGTAGAGACGCGTTTTTCCATGTGAATGCCCTAATTCGTTCCAAGGCCCCCAAAATTCAGACATAAATGTTTCCTAAAGAAGAAAAATGCATCAAAATATGTAACAAATACATGTTACAATTAGATTATTGCACAATAAATGAGAGTTGTGTATAATGTAAAAAAACAAAGAATAAAGAACAAAAGCTAGTCATTTAACTGTTAACTGCGTCCTCATCGTACAGAGGTACCACTGTATTACCGTATTGGCCCGAATATAAGACGGTGTTTTTTGCATTGAAATAAGACTGAAAAAGTGGGAGTCGTCTTATATTCGGGGTCTAGACATGATATCCATTCACGACGCTAGATGGCGCCAGATATCATTGAAGCGAATGTTGAACTTGACTCCCCAGGCCAAAGTGAACCCCTGTCACGAAGAATAAAAATAAAAATAGCGGTAGCACGAAGAAGAAAAATAAAAAATAGCGGTAAGAAAGAAAAGCGAAGAAAATAATAGCAGAGATAACAGAAAATGGAGAAACGTAGCGACAATCTGGAGAAAAGTGGGTCGAAGATCGGCCAGGTTAACCGACAATTGAGGAGAAGTTATGATGTAATTTACATTTCAAAAACCAGAAGCCATTCATTTACGAATGTGATTGCACTTTAGTTTACATATTTAAATGTTCAGATATTAAGATTTGAATGAGGCAAAATAACATGCTTTTTCTCTCAAATATACTGTATTGTTATAATAATTTGTTTCAGATGTACTGTAATTATTTTCTGTATAAAAATTAATTTGGTGTTCAAAAAGTCTTTTTTCAAACTTGAGTCTTGAAAAAGAGGGGGTCGTCTTATAATCAGGGCCGTCTTATATTCGGGCCAATACGGTAATAATAAGGAGGTAATGATATCCAAACGTCAGATATTAACCTCACAATACAACAATGATCACTATGTTGTGGGGAGGATGGTGATACAGACAGCTCACAATACCATTAAAAAAATAATAATAAAGAAAATAAAAATAAATAAATAAATAAAGCTTATGATATTGAAAAAAAATTGTTTTTTTCTCCAAGAGTGGTGACTATTGTCATATGTTCCTACAGCTCAGCGGTGCTCAGTGTTATGAGATGCGTAGTTCGCAATGCTGGATTCGGCTGAAGCATGCAAAAAGTCATGTTTTTTTGACGGAGATGTGCTGCTTTTCACATTGTAACATGACAACAATATTGTGACAATTTTAATATCATGATATCACCGTTATCCTTACATCCTTAATTAGTAGTAGTGGCTTTTTACATTGGTCTGCGCTCCACCTATTGCTCGGTAAAATGTATTAATTACAACCAGTCATTTCTGCTATGTAATTTTGAGTGTGCCATCAAGTTGGCCAGTGTGGGAATGTCACCAGTCGACACAAAATAAAATAAAAAATAAAACACCGAAAAATACAGGAAGCTAGTAGGAGGAGCCGATACGCTTAATCAGCATCTTCATCTCCTTTTTTTTTTTTTTTTTTTTTTTATAAACAGTAAACTGTGCGGTCAGTACGATGCATGAGGTAATTAAAATAAAATAAACATTCAGCGCATTACTCATTCTCATCTTAACTACATGACAAAAAAATCATCCCAAACTATTTTGATCACTCCACATCTACAGCAGCTGTTGTTGCCATGGTTCTACCAACGGACAGAAACATCTGCACTGTTACCGGGCCAACGGAGATGTAACACACAATGCTGGCTGACAGAGACATGTCTTAGTTCCACATAAGCACTCACACACTACACGCGTGTGCTCATGCATGTCATCACTGCGGTAGGGCCGAATGATTTTGCCTGCACCCAACTTTCCAAGCACAGCAGGAGTCACCCCAAAGACCGCCAATGCCACGTACAAACTACTCGCTCACACATAGTGTCGACTACAAAAATAGTTGAGAAAAAAGAAGAAAATGACGCCACGAAGGAAGAGCGGGTCAGCTTTTCCTCTTACGCAATAATACACACCACTTCAGCCAAAGTCTCCATCAGCGACGTCATATTTTCGAATACAAAGTACTGTAGTTGCTATGATCTGAGAGATATGTACAGATGGCGTTTATTGTTCTGCCTATTCAATTAACATGATGTATTTTGACTAAAATTAAGACCCATACTATAAGGGCCACAGGATATTTAGTGTTTTCATCATGCAGCTAACACTGTGAATTGCTTGGTTTTGTCCCTCGAAAGGCAAAATGTATGCAGTGGATGACAATCAATCTAAGTATCACACCCGTGTTCAAATAACACCGGGCAAGAAGACATACATTCAGCACATACACTTCCCACCAACTCTGAGAGTTTAAATGCGCAGTCAATGGGTAAAAACAACCAGACACGCACGCAAACACAGCCTTTACCCCCTACAAAGGCAAACGCACTCTTTGTCTGGCTCTCTTGTTAACATGCTGAACCACTCAGACAACTATTCCGGCGCTAGTTTGTCTGAGTGTAGACGTTTGAGGTGCCCGGAGTTTTTCATGCTGGAGGTGGAAGCGATTTACAAAGAATGCAGTAGAAAGGGTGGAGGATCGCGGTCGTTAAAGCAGCAGGGTCGCGCTTTAAACGAAAGCCTGACGCTAACAAGGAAAGATGTTAATTGTACAGCCTCGCCGGCAGAGCACAAAGCCCCTCCAACA